CCTGAAAAGGTGAAATTAGCCTTTAAAGTGATATTAAAGGCAATTTTTTTAATAACAAACAAGTCAAACTTACCTGCTGTCTGTCAGAGCAGCCCTGATTCTCCTCTTCTCAGGTCCCAGGTCCCCCGCCGGAGCTCCTGGCCCCTCCCTCCTGCCAAGTGAGCCACTGTTATCCATGTCCATTCACACACAGAGCCATGGCTTGGCCCCATCCCCTCTTTCCTCATTGGTTCACCGACTCTGATCGACAGCAATGGCTCCCGCTGTTGTCTCAGCCAATGAGGAGGGAGAGTATCCGGAGAGCTGAGGCTCTTGTGCACATCACTGGATTGTGATGAGGCTCAGGCAGGTAAGTATTGGGGGGGTGGCTGAGGGGGCTGCTGCATACTGAAAGTTTTTTACCTTTATGCATAGAATGCCTGAAGGTAAAAGCCTTGAGTCTTTACAACCACTTTAAGTAAACAGCCAATACAAGTCCACTACATTAATGGTTTAGAAGTATCTCATGGGGTTACATGAGATGTTTTTAAACTCATAACCCAAACATTTTAAGTACAATTTGGTGTCTTCAGATATTTCCAATTGTTTCTTCTTTCTTACAGATTGACTAGAAAAACCACTGGTAATCCAGACACTAAATCTCAGCCTACATGCCTCCAGCTGTCTCTTACATCATGGGTAGGAAAGAGTTCTCACAAACACAGTTCTCGGAGGCCTGATTGCACTTGGTGAAGTTCCCAGAATGCATACCTCAATTTAATCCAGGACCAAGAAAAAGAACAGTAGTAGACGACAGGAAATGTACAAACACTGAGAAACAAGCACACAAGTCAAATCTGACCTTTATAACCCATCAAATTGATACTTTGTCTTCTGCCCCCCCAAATTATAAATTATAACTTTAGGTATCTCTGAAGAATAGCCTTCATTGTCCTTCACTTTTATGGAAAATCACAGATTTGTCCCTGGAGGTAATCTGTCCTTGGATATGTCCCTAATTGTAATGCTGACCATCTGAGCAATATATATATTTCATGTTTGTTTTCCTTTTTATGCTTTCATTGCAATGCGCAATATCAATCCTATTACTGTTGACACTTGTGTTAAATCTGGCAGAAGATTTGGCAGGCTCAAACTGTCCCAAAGTAGTTGCATGTGTTGGATTACTCGGCTACCAGCAGCAATGTTCTGGAATAACTATAACTGTCGGAAAACACATTTATTGAACAGGTTGTGTGTTTTCTATGGGATCAGTTGGCAGCCTTGTTAACAGTCCACCGGGTTATCCCAAGTTTTAGCAATGTTTCATCAAAAGGATTTAGTTCATGTTGATCTGACCATAAATTTGTTGAAAACATCTTTTTAGGGTAAATAAACCCAAATGCAAATTATTTAGGGGTTCTACTGCATCAGACTGCATTGTAAGTACATTGTAAGTACATGTGTACACAGGTAGTACAGTGGCTAAACGGTTAGCATTTCCGCCTGGCAGTACTAGGTTCGTCAGGTTGAATCCCAACCACGGCACCACCTGCCTGAAGTTCGCATGTTCTCGCTGTGCCTGCGTGGGTTTCCTCCGGGTACTCCGGTTTCCTCCCATACTCCAAAGACATGCTGGTAGGTTAACTGGCTCCTGTCTAAATTGGCCCTGGTCTGTCTATGTATGAATGTAAGGGACCTTAGATTGTACACTCCTTGAGGGTTAGGGACTGATATGAATGTACAATATGTAAAGCGCTGCGTAAATTGACAGCGCTAAGTACCTGAAATAAATAAATAAATACTAAATACGTAGGTTTTTTGTTTGCATATGAGCTGCTTTTCTTTTCTTTATAAGGCAATGTGAATTCAAAATCAACTTAGATTAGCTTGCTACAGCTCCTTAACCACTTAAGAGCTCCAGTATCCCCCCAAAAATTAAAAGTCAATTAATTAAATTAGTCAAAATTAAATACTGTAGCTGCTGACTTTTAATAGAAGGATACTTACCTGTCCAAGGATCCAGCAATGTCCTCACCCGAGCTGATTCCGACTTCACAGCTAGTTTCCTACTGTGCATGTGTGAGCTGCGCTGCACTTTGTGAATGGTCCTGCAGTCTTTTGGGACCTGAGTGTATCCCAGAAGGCTGGGGGGGGGGGGGGGGGGGGGGGGGGGGGGGGGGGGGGGGGGGGGGGGGAAGAGGAAGTGGCCCAAATTTCTTCACAGATTGCTGTGGCAATCTAACCTGAAAATGGGAGTGGGTACCTGTCAAAACGAGGTACCTGCTCTACCCCAAAAAGTGCCAAATGTGGCAGTGGGGGGGATGCAAACAAGCAAATCTTCTGCTTTTGGTTGAAGGTCTAAGCTTTAAGCTTCAGAATATTTTACCCCTTTATGACCAGGGCATTTTTTTGCTATTCGGCACAGCGCTACTTTAACTGACAGTTGCACGGTCATGCAACATAGTACCCGCATGAAATTTATATTTTTTTTTTTTCACACAAATTAAGCTTTCTTTAGGTGGTATTTGATCACCACTGGTTTTTTTATTTTTTTTTTCATTATATATAAACGAAAAAAGACCAAAAATGTTGAACCCCCCCTAAATATTTTCTGTTATAAAACATATTGAATTAAAAAAAAATAAAAATTCTAAATTCTTCATAAATTTAGGCCAAAATTTATTCTGCTACATGTCTTAGCTAAAAAAAAATCCCAATAGGTGTATATTAATTGTTTAGTGTGAAATTTATAGCACCTACAAACGATGTTTTATATATATACACACACACACACACACATATATACATATATATTGGATTTTTTTTTTTTTATACTAGTAATGGCGGTGATCAGCGACTTATAGTGGGACCGTGATAGTGCGGAAAGCAATCTGACACTAACTGACACTGGGTGGGAACTGACTAAATGACACTTACATTTCCAGTGACACTAATACAGTGATCAGTGCTGATACGATACACTGTCACTGTACTAATGACACTGGCTGGGAAGGAGTTAACATCTAGGGGCAATCAAAGGGTTAACTGTGTGCCTAACTATGTGTAATGTGTGGAATATGTGCTGCTTTTACTACAAGACATGACTGTTTTATCTCTCTAATTAGCAGAGAGAAAAAAAACAGACACGTCCCTACTCTCTGTTCAGAGCCCTGTGTTGTATGTCAACACAGTTACATAGTTAGTCTGGCTGAAAAAAAGACCAAAGTCCATCCAGTTCAACCAAAAAAAAATAAAGTTATAATCCTATACCCACAGTTGATCCAGAGGAAGGCAAAATAAAAACCCAGCAAAGCATGATCCAATTTGCTTCTGCAGGGGAAAAAAATTCCTTCCTGATCCTCTGAGAGGCAATCGGATATTCCCTGGATCAACTTTACCTATAAATGTTAGTATCCAGTTATATTCTGTGTATCTAAGAAAGAATCCAGGCCTTTTTTAAAGCAATCCACTGGGCTGGCCAGACCCAACTCTTGAGGAAGTCTATTCCACATTTTCACAGCTCTTACTGTGAAGAAACCTTTTCGTATTTGGAGATTAAATCTCTTTTCCTCCAGATGTAAAGAGTGCCCCCTTGTCCTCTGTGATGACCTCAGGGAGAATAACTCTACACCGAGTTCACTATATGAACCACTGATGTATTTATACATGTTGATCATATCCCCCCCTTAATCCCCTCTTCTCAAAAAGAGAATAAATTCAGTTCCTCTAATCTTTCCTCATAGCTGAGCTCCTCCATGCCTCTTATCAGTTTGGTTGCCCTTCTCTGTACTTTCTCCAGTTCCCCAATGTTCTTTTTCTGAATTGGTGCCCAAAACTGAACTGCATATTCCAGATGAGGTACAGGGCTCTGAACTGTCATTTGCTAAGCCGCTAAGCCAATTAGCAGGTCTGTAAATCATTGGCTGGGACCTGCTGATGCGCTTGTGCTGTAGCAAATTACAGCACAGTCAAGGCAGCGGGCAAGCAGGCTCACTATTTGGAAGGCCCACTACATACGTGACATGGCACAGCGGAGCTGCTCTGCCAGGGACCTGCTTAGGGGAGCTTGCAATTTAACAGGAGAGGCAAGTAATACAAAGGTAGTAACTGGGGGGGGGGGGGGGGGGGGGGGGGGGGGGGGGGGGGGGGGGGGGGGGGGGGGTTTTTAATAGAGAAAAATAACATAAACATTGGGTAGAGGTGGAATAGGCTTCTCTAAATAGAGGAGTGTTCAGGGATGGAGCCGGATGGAATAGGGTAGGGAGTTCCAGAGGAAGGGAGAGTTTCTGGAGAAATCCCGGAGATGAGCATAGGAGGAGAGGACTAGTGGGCTAGAGGAGAGGAGATTGTGGGAGGAGCAAAGACAGCAGTTTGGTGATAAGATAATTCTGTCTCTCAGGCCAACCCCTAGGAAGTTTATTGCCAGTGGTACATGCTGGGAGAGGATATAGATATGTTGTCCTTCCAGAAAAGTATTTTTTCCTTGCCTCCTGAGCTGTTGTCAAGATAGGAGGTTGTGTTGAAGGCCTCTCCTTTACAAGCCTGTTGCCTGAAGTGAAGCCAAGAGTGGGCCTTAATTTGGGACCTGCTGGGGGGTACATCAAAGTGGAGAGAAGCTGGATCCTGTTTGGGAAGAAACTTTGCTGTTGAAGAGTGTCCTGCTGCCAGTGGACATTGCAGGAAGTCTTGTGGCTCCAAATAAATAGGATTTGTGCTGCCTGAAACTGCTTAACTGTCTGAGGAGTACAGATTGCTGATCTTGGCTTAAATCATTCAAGAAGAGGCAGGGGTGTGGAAATTTTTGAAAAAACTACTTGTCCAGGGACTAAATCAGTGTCCCAATCTACTTGTCCCTCATGACAATCTCCTTGTCCTGATGAAAAAAAAAAAAAAGTAACCAAAACCGTATTTAAATCTGCTTTAACCACCTCCCGCCCGCCATATAGTCCAATGACAGGTGCAAGGTAGTTCTCGCGTTCTGATAGGCCATCTTTTGACGGCCTTCCATTCTCACCGAGACTCAAGGAGCACGCAGCATGGCGATTGGCAGTGCTCTGTGTCCCTCGGACACAGCAGATCACCGATCCACGGAAAGAGCCGAAGATGTCGCTCGTTCATGTGATCAGCTGTGTCCAATCACAGCTGATCACATGTAAACAGGGAAATGCCGGTTATCAGCATTTCTCTCCTCTCGAGCTGTCAGCGTGACAGCTCGAGAGGAGAGGAGAGCCGGTAATCGGCATTCCACGGAGGGGACATCTACACTGATCATCAGGGCACTGATGATCAGTGTGCCCTGATGATCAGTGTGGCCCCAGAAGTGCCATCTGTCAGTGTCCATCAGTGCCACGTGCCAGTGCCCATCAGTGCCACATATCAGTGCCTACCAGTGCACATCAATGTCACATGTCAGTGCCCATCTGAGCTGCCCTTCAGTGTCACCCATCAGTGCAAATCAGTGCCACCTATCAGTGCTGCCAATCAGTGCCGCCTATCAGTGACATATATCAGTGCTGCTTTTCAGTGCCCATCAGTGATGCCTGTCAATGCCCACCAGTGCCTCCTCATCAGTGCCCATCAGTGCCACCTATCAGTGCATCTTATCAGTGCCCATCTCTACAGCCTCATTAGTGCACATTAGTGAAGTAGAAAAATCACTTTACACAATTTTAAACCAAAAACTAAGAAAAAACATTTTTAAAAGAAACATTTTCTGTGGTTTTTGGTTTGTTTAAGAAAAAATAAAAAACCCAGAGGTGATTAAATACCACCAAAATAAAGCTCTGCCACAAAAAAATGATAAAAATTTCATATGGGTACAGTGTTGCATGACCACGCAATTGTCATTCAAAGTGTGACAGCGCTGAGAGCTGGAAATTGGCCTGGGCAGGAAGGGGGTGTAAGTGCCCTGTAGGTAAGCGGTTAAGCAATGTCTGGGGCTTTTAAAAACAAAAGGGGCTTTAAACGTGTAATATTTTTACCATTGCGCTGTTTATCTCCTCCTCCCCTCCCTGCCTGTCTCCAGCACCGCACCTGGGGAATAGCAGGGAGGGGAGAGACCTTGCAGTGTAGTGATCGTAGATTGGGTGCTCATCGAGAAAGGGGAGTGTCAGGCTTGTTCTTTAACCCTTTTGCTGCCAGGGCCATTCTTGCATTTTTTGCACACGTTTAAAAAAAGATTTAAAGCCTGAAGATTACAAACTCCAAAACATGATATATTTTCTGAAATCAGAGAACCTAGAGAATAAAATAGTGATAGTTCCAATTTTTTATGTCACACGATTTTATCACAAAAAAATACACTTAAGTTAATTTTAGGGCACAAAAAGCAATACATTATCCAATTTTGTTGTAAAATATGAAAGACGAGGTTGCATCGAGTAAATAGATATCCAACATGTTAAACCTTAAATTTGCATGTGCTTGTGAAACTGTAACAAACTTCAGTACCCTATATTTTCTATAGGTGGCGCTTTTAAAGCCCCTTATAGGTCATTGGTTTAGTGTTACGGAGGAGGACTGGTGCTAGAATTATTGCTCTCATTCTGGCGTGTGCAGCGATATGTAACATATGTACATTTGTATGTGGGTATAGGTGGGGGGTGGGGAGCCTTGAAAAAATTTTTTGGGGGGTATTTGATTGGGTGTAACTTTAATTTTTTAAAAATTTAAAAAAAAAATTTGTTTTCTTAAATTTTTTTTGTGATATAGGGGGACAAAAAGTCCCCTATGTGATGATTTTTGGTGACAGGTTCTCTTTTTTGAGACATCCAGGGTCTAAAAGACCCTTCATGTCTCCCCGGTACTGCACTGAATGTAATGCAGTGCACTTCGCACCACATTACATTCTCTCCCGGCCTCGATGGCTGGGAATCTGTCAACGGGGACCTGGAAGTGTCGTCACATCACTTCGGGTCAGAACACGAAGGGGAGGGGAGTGGACGTGTCTGCTCTCCTCCCTCCTCTATACTGGCATCCCGGCATACCACCAGCACCCACTGAACCCACAGATGTGCAAGCAGAGCCTGGGACATACAGTGGGCAGGGAGGTGGTGGCTGGGACTGTGGAAGCAATCAAACAGCAGCGCTGCCACCCGAATGCTTCCACCTGACAGATGAGCCCTGCTGATTACCCGTAGCAGGGCTAAAGGTAAAAATTACCTGTCTGACTCCCGGAACTACATGTCCCAGGCGTTGGGCGATTTGAATTGAATATTCCTGAGAGGTAGTCCAGAGCTATGTTTTCCCAGCATACCTAAATTAGAATACTTTACAACAATAAACCCCCATGGGACATTTTAGGCAAAGCAAATGTAGCATAAAAAATTAGCAATCTTTATTTATACAAACATAATAAAATATATGAACTTTAAAAACCAAACTTGGCTGTAATATTCACTTGTGTTATCATTTTACACCATGATGATAATGTACATGATGGTACCCCACATCCCCTGTTAACATAACAATAGTCTCAAGTGGACTTGGCTAACAAAGGGTGACTCCATGTGTTTCAGAAAGAGGATTCTTTCTTCAGGGGTGCAAGATGTGAAGAGTATCCTCTATTTTCAATAGTATATAATGAGATAAGTCTATGCATATGCACATAAACATATGGAACCTTGCATTCATAAAGGATTGCACTCACTGTGTGTTAGAGCAAATATATAATGTATGCAGCCGACACTTAAAAATCAAAATGCTAAGCCACCTCGAAAGCCATAGCACTGAATCGACTGGAGTACACTGAGACCACCTGTTTACACAGCAAAAATGGAGATGCATAATGATGATATGTACAGCACAGTAATAATGCATTTAGAGGACATTAAATCTCAAACAAAAGAATGCTGACATTCAGTAATAATTCTCAGTCATTGTAGTTGCAGCCGGAGCCAAATGGATCCTCACACCAAACACAGATATTTTGTTAGGTCCAGATATACTGTATACATTACATGGTGCTCCATACAAATAGTGATACAACAAATATTCTTGGACCTAAAGTGGTCAATTGTTCAAACAAATATTGATATCCCAAAAATGCAGCAATGGACTATGTATAGAAAAATACCACATATGAAATGGGCATAGCTAAAAATAGTGCTGCAACGGACTACATATGGAAAACTACCGTATATGAAATGGACATGGCTGGAAATAAGTAATAAGCCCCATTATATTATATTACTTCCACAACTGGACCAAAAGGTAAATGAATCTATAATTCTATGCTGCGCTTTGAGGGGAAGTTATTTATAAAAGAAACTTGTCTTAAAGGTTCTTATTTGTGATGACTGTTGCATTTGGAGATTAAGTCAGTGTTGGACGCTTTTCTGGGTATCCTGCATGCCAACCCCTTCTCCCTGAGTTGGATGCTTGAGAAAGGAGTGCGCCGGTCCTCGGATCCCGCACATGCTCAGAAACGTGTCACATGCTTATGACTTCACAAGCCATCCCTCAGGAGTTCACAGAGACTTGCCAGGCTTTCGCATCAGGCTTTCGCATCAGGCTTTCCATCACCGGGCATGCTGGGTCAATGATGTCACACAGGGGCAGGCTCACATATGTGATGGTCCGCCCTTTATATATTTAAGAATTATCAAGCAGCAGCAGAGCAGTCAAGCGGCCAGGAGCCAACGTCGGGAGCACAGCCTTCTTTTTTTTTTTGGGTGGCGGCGGGCATCGTGATTGACGTTAGATCTACTTCAGGGGACATGCTTTTATTCTCCTTATTTTAATAAAGGACTTGTCAAATACTGTTTCCTGTCTTTTTTCACACTAGTTTTTTTTTTTGTGAATGGGTAGCGGTACCATGTACCCCATACTCATTCACATAGGGGGGCCTGGATCTTGGGGCCCCTTTGCAAAAGGCTTCCAGATTCCGATAAGCTCTCCACCCGCAGACCCCCACAGCCCAGGGTGGGGAAGAGGCCCTTGTCCCCATCAACATGGGGACAAGGTGCTTTGGGGGGGCACCCCCAATGTTGAGGGCATTTGGCCTGGTATGGTTCAGGAGGAGGGGGTGCTCGCCCCCCCCCCCTTTCCTGAGCTGCTGGGCTGCATGCTCAGATAAGGGTCTGGTATGGATTCCCCCCCCCCTCCCCAACAGCCAGCCTTTCACTGGGAAGTTTAGTGTACTGCTGTGTCTCCTCCACCAGCTCTTACGTAGCTGAGCAGAGGGAAAAAAAGTATTTATAATGTTTTTTATATCTATACATAAATATTTTGCCTTTCATTTATAGGTGAGGTGAGGGTTTACAATCTCTTTAAGCCTGCCATTTACACTGCTCCTGTGCCTCCCAGGCATATCATTATGCCGAGACTGTATGCACAGTAGCCAAACGCCTAGCATACAGATAGCCTTAGGTTGGCCATACTAGTTAAATGGAAGAAAATAACTGGATTCCCCCATCCACTCACTTGAGGTGGATGGGGGAATCACTCCAGCTGAGCTATTGTACTCTGACAGCAGGGAGATTTCCCCGCTATCAGAATACACTCATCAGCACCTCTGGCTATAGACAGAAGCTAATTGAAAGAAAATTTGCCAACAGGCTGGCTGTACACAAGTTGATCGATAGATTGATTTGTGTACAACCAGCCTGCCCATAACATGGATCAAAATTTGTCTGGTCCCTGCACTGGCCGTATTTTGATTCATGTATGGCCGGCTTTACAGTTAATCTAAAACTTGCTGTCTGTGATTTCTGGTAACATTCTATCCTCTAAATGTTCTTTTATGTAATGAGAACTATAATTCCTGGCCACTGAAAATGCCCAGCAACCCAATCCCTTACTGAACAGATTTTGATGTGTGCAGGATTAAACATATGGAAAAGATTAGAGCTGGAACCCAGAGACATCAGCTATATTTGTTAGCGCCTGGAAAGAGAGGATCCTCTTTTCTGAACTACTGTAGATTTCCATCCTTAGGAAACACTGATGGAACTTATTACATATAATTTACTCTTTAACTAAGCAGCAGAATTTTCCCTACCCAACAAGGAAGAATGAAATGTAAAAGTACTGACTGACTAGTAATTCCAGCATTACTTTCCTATAAAAGAAGGTATATATGTATTAGGACAGGGCTTGACAAATTTGCTTTGAATATAGGAGCCAGCTAAAAAAGTTATTTTATTTTTAACTAACAAAGCTTAATTTTCAGCGACAAAACCCCTTCTCTT